TTGGCGCAACTAGATCTAAAATATTGGGGAGGGGGGCTGAAGCCCTATAAATAAATTTAGTCAATGTGAGCTTGGGCCCCCCCATACCCCTCATTGCCACAAACACAGAACAATAATTATTAATTGAAATAAAAACAATCATAAAATATTATTACCATACTATATTATTAAAAATCATGTACCTACTTCTATGTAGTATATTTTACATAAAATATGACATAACACCATCGCAATATTCCACCATCGTCCGTCAAATTTATTATATAACAATATTATTACTAATTATGTAGGATTGTAGGAATTACAAAATAAACTATAATAATAATATTTTATGTTTATACAATTTACTTTTGAATAATTCTCTGCGTCATATACTCATATTATTTAGTATGTATCTCACTATCCCATGCTTAAATTATCATTAAATTTTAAATAATCAAAACATTTGGGGGGGGGGGCTATAATACATTGGGGGATCCTTAAGTCCCCTCCTTCTAGTTGCACCAATGCTCGAGTTTCGTAGTCATAGTTGTCGTCGTTGTCGAGTTCGATTCACGAATTACGATTGACTGGAAAACAAATCGCCTAATATTTTATTTTCAATCAATATGAGTGGAAAGTGCATAATGTATATATTGAAATAAATTAGTTATTTGGGTTTTTTTTTAAAATGTGGAAGGAATTGACAGTGATATTTTACAAGAAAAATCAAAGCAATTAGTAAATATTTATATTGTTTATAACAGAAACTTGAGAATGAGATTATACAATTTAAAACAATAATGAAGTATTTTTCAGAAGATGAAAAAACATCTATGAACCGTTTTTTTGAAGTATTAACAGTATTAAAGTTAAACGATTCATTTCCTACTGTGGAAATAGCTTTAAAACTTTTTATATTTGTACCATGTTCAATGCTAGCGGAGAAAGATCCTTCTCAGTTTTAAAAAGAACTACCAGAAAACATAATTATCTAATGAAAATATGTCATAGTTGTCCCTAATATTTATTGTAAATATTTTCCCAAAATGTATAGGTTGGAATGATATTATTAAAGAGTTTGCTGCACAAAAAGCTAGAAAATAGTAGTAAATGTTTTATATTAAATAATTTTGTATTAAAATGTTTATATCTAGTACCTACTAAGGTCTATAAATTTAAAAAGTACCGGTGTTACAATATGTTTATTAATATAAATTAATTAAACAATCTTAACTATGTTGTTACTTGTTGTATACATATATATTGGTTTGTGAAGGGGGTTGAAGGGCGGAATTTTAAAATCTGTCCCCATGCGGCAAATTTGTTAATCCAGCACTGTTTACAATAATTCCTTGCAATATTTTTTTGTTTCCTTAATGCCTTACATTAAGAACACTATTTTATACAATTTTAAAAAGGCCTATGGTGGGGGGTTTCTGACCCCCTCCCCTTGTATATGTACGTCCCTGGACAAGGCGAAGCCCAGTAATTCGCCTAGTAATAATATAATACCTATTTATAATATTATCATTTCATCGTTAATCGGCGTAAACACGTTACATGGTTAACAGTTTTAATCCTCGTCTAGATAAAAGATAACAAAATATTTACGTAATTGTATGTAATGCGTTAATATTTTATTCAATGATCAATCCATTCTCATGAGATGCCGCAACTTCTATCTGATTCGTTCTGTTAAAAATAATTTGATTTCGCCGGTTCCTTTGATTTGTGCAGGTAAGCGCGCGTGAATACGAAGTATTTTATTTATTATATTAAGTGTGAAATTAATAACCTTTTTTTTTTTTTTTTATATTTATTAAGTAATATGCAATCTGTACAATTAAGGCACAATAAGCGTATGTGAGCAATGAAGATGAACAGGCGAGAAAGACGTGATTAAAGGAGTCACCCATTAGTGACACTTTAGCTTTTGAATGTAACGTGTTACGTTAAATTGTCCTTTTTTTTTTAATAAATTGAATTGTTTAAAGAAGGTCATGACACCATGTTCTTTTTAATCTGCGTTGGGGATTTCCAGGAAGGGTTGGAATGGAGAGACCTTTAATGAGTGGGTTGTAGTGATTTGAGAGTTTTAGGTGAAATCTATTGTAGGTTTTGGCTTCTTCGTTAATTGTTTTTATATGAAGGTCGTTATGGAGCGTATGGTTTAAAACAAAGTACGGGGCATTTGTAATTTTGCGGAGTGAAATATTTTGGAATGTTTGAATTTTGTTGGTATTTGATATTTTGGCTGCTCCCCAAAGTTGAAGTCCATAGGTCCAAAAAGGTTTTAAAAAAGATTTATAAATTTTTATTTTGTTTTTAAATTTTTGAATTGATTAGAATAAAGTAGTTTGAGTAATCTGGAGCGTGAATTTATTAGTAGTCTTTTGGTTTTAATATGTTTACTCCAAGTTAAGCGTTTGTCGAGATGAATACCTAAATATTTGACCGTGTCAGATGTGGGGATAGGAGTATTATTTATGAAAACGTTAGGACAGAGTCCTAGTTTTAGTGTGAAGGTAATGTGTACAGATTTTGAGCTATTTATTTTAACCCTCCATTTTTTGTACCAGTCGGTCATTTGGTCTAAATGGAGTTGAAAAAATTAATAACCTAAATAAATAAACTAACCTAACCCACGATTCAATCCATTTTGTTGTGTTAATCTTGTCAATTGTGAAAAATTAAATAAAATGTTCTCAAAAGGTTGCCAAAAGTAGAAAGTAGAAACACCTATACGACTAAACAACCGAAATCACTTCACAATTATATATTTATTTAGCTATGATTATTATCTTAGTCCGTAATTGTTGTCAACGATAACCGTTTTCTGGAAAAAAAACCATTACTTTGCAGTTTGCTATAGAAAATAAAAATAAACAAAAACAAAATCCAAATACACCGTTCAAATGGAAACATCCCAGGAAACTCGTTTATAGCGTTCCTTGCTTAATTAAATAAAGGGAGACGTTGAAATCTATGGAAAAATGAAAGTGGACTCCATCCGACTGCGCCCCTCCCAATTCGAGCACTGCTCATAACTTACTTAAAAATTAAAATATCGTAAAAACTTATGATGAAATTTGAATAATGTTCTTCACTTAAAGTTCGATAACAGATCAGTTTATTCTAATAGAAACAACCCAAAATTAATTAAATTAACCACAGATTTGCTATGCTAATAGTAATGACCATAAGATATTCATTGGAATTAATATATTTATTAGATTATTATATTATTATTATAATATAATTTGAAATGTATGTATATTAAACCAAATATTTATTTAATAATCAATTTTAGTTTAGCAAAAATAATCTAAAAAATATAAATACAGGTATATAATCAGAGTCATTTCACTATCTTTACAATTAAAAAATAATAATAATTCCTGTGTTCTAAAAGCAATTTATCAAAGGGATTTTATGATTTTATGCAGTAAAATGGTAGGATGGTATTATTGTGACGATCTGTTGTAATAGTTCCCATAGTTAAAATTGAAAGTATATGTATATGATATATTACTATGTTTAAATTATATTAAAACTTTTTGCCGAACGTGTTTTGAAATTATCTCGATACTTATCTAATGGACATATATTAACAACCATAATATGAAGTCCATTAGTTAAAAATGTTGATGTCTAATGGATATCCATAATTATCCACCGTGGCTAATCTACCAATAACTTTCTATCTAAAAGATATTTATACAGTGGTCGAAATTGCTCAAGATAAGTGGAGGGATGCCTTACAATTCAGATTTCCTGATATCCTCATAACATTCTTCACACCTTATGTACCTATAATATTTTTTTTTTATAGTTCACATAAAATATATTATTTTAGTCCGTGGCTTTAAATACGGATATAATACGGGTTACGAAACAGCTTATACTAAACAACACGATAAGCCGGGCGTCCAGGCCTGAATGTTAAAAACAATTATTTTCACAAAAAAAAATAATAATTTCTTATATATATATATTATTTATAATATTTATTCTTATATATAAAAATGATAGTAAGTATATCATTTTAAAATACAAGTCTTGGGAGGAATGCGTTATTCTAGATAAAACAAGTAGAGAGATGAAAACTGTAAATACAAAAAAGTAAAAGGATGTCATTCCTCCGTATCCCCCCCACTTCGAGCACTGTATTCATAAAATGTCAAAAAATTACTGAATACAAAATGGATATTTAGGATGTCTAATATGCAAATAATGGATATGTTGTGTTATGTGGATTGAAATATTAGGAGACACATTTACTGATAAATGCGATGAAGCTATAAGAACTATATCACGTGGACTTGAATGACAAATATCCGCCAATGAATTATCATATTACTGTGTGTAATGTGTAATGTGTTAATATTGTACTATAAAATGCAATTGAACTCATAAAATAACCAAAAATTATCTACTCAATGTTAGACATGAAGAAAGTTGGACTTTAAGAAAATTGCATAAACATTGCACAAAACTATGGCATTTTTTTTAAAAATATTAATTAGATAATTAATGGTAATGTCATACCACTTTATCCGGTATTTTACCCACTGATGTTAGTACATAGTAATCGTCAAAGTTAATGTATAGTTTGACGATTACTATGTACTAACATCAGTGGGTAAAATACCGGATAAAGTGGTATGACGTTACATTTTCAATATTGGTTTTGCATCCCACGAAAGAATATGAAATTACGTCCCTGCACGCCACTGCCATGCATTGTAATATTATGACGCGATCGTGAGTGCATCTGACAGATATCTGATTGATCACAGACCGGATGTCTACTTGTTTTTGCACGATGAAAAATATTATTATTATTATTAATAACAGTGCGTACGTTAAGTGCAATGCTTCGGTCGGCCGTTGAACGTGGGGCGGATCGCGACGCGGTTTTGTAGGCCGCAGACGGTCGCGATTGGCCCCGGCGGGAAACGCCGCACGTTACGCGACACCGGCACTCGGCAGACCGCCGTCGCTGCCAGTCACAACGTGTTCGGCGTACCGTTCGGTCGTGCTTCGTGTCCGCGTGTAGGTGTGATAGTCGTTTTTTCGTTTTTCCTCACTCGCACGTCATAATATATTGTATTATTATTTACGGGCGTGCGCGTTATCGAATCGTTATTTTTTTCTGTCTACCGTTTTCCATTTGCGGTCGTAGAATTATATTTTGTTAAATCGATTTTCCAAACGCAAGGCGAATTTTCACCGGTCTGCACCGCAGCCAGGGTGACATCACGGTCGTCGGGAAATGTCACCAACCTCATCACCACCACCACCATTGTCATCATCATCAACATCGCTGTCCTCGCGGGGAATATTAAACAACGGAAGCAACCGGAAGCGTGTTTAGACATTTTATTATAATTGAAAATTATATAAATGCACAAATAATTGATTGCTCGGTTCAGTTGTTTGTATGCTTTGCATCGAAATTGAAGACGCATTCACACTTCGCGGTGCTGATACATTTGTATTATAATATTATAATCGCACGCACTGTGTAATATTATTGTGGTTTATCGAGGTAAGCATTTTTCAATTTGAACTACACGCACGCATTTAATTTATATGTTGATTTTTTAAGTAGGCTAATCTAGTTTTAAAATATGTATTTATCAATATTTTATTTTTTAGAAAATCTTACTTGGTTTTTACATCAGATTTATATTTTTTTAAACTTTTTCGTTCATTGTGATTATTGTCAAAAGTATTATATTTATTATAAATGGTAGCGTGTACGTTTTGTTCCATCATAGCCCAAAAATCGAACAGACGGTTAATAAAAGCTTAAGAGTGTAGAATTTAGATGAACCGAATTGGTGATTAGTGGTTACCCTGCAAAATTTTGGCGCAATTAGATTATTATCTCACACCGTCTCGTTCTAAACGTATGTCAGTATAATTCTGTACCATCGTGTGTCACGAGAAGTTATTATTTAAAATTACTGACTGACGTGGCAACTTTTTTTATTGTAATCGTTTTGTTGACTTATACAACATTTCCGTATTAAATACAACGTTCCACGGTGTTATATTACCGTTCATACATTTTTGAACAATTATACATATGATATAATAATATGCTGTGCGGTCTAAACGAATATTATATTCTTAGAGTACCTACTGTTATTTATATAATATAATACAGATGTGCTAGGATTTTTGGAAAAATATCAAAATCACCTTTTTGTCATTATTGATTATCCTTTATTACATTTAAAAATTAGATATGCATGTGTTTGTATGTGATTATATGGATGTACGTAACATATAGGAACATGGCTCCATTGGACCTTCTTATAGTTAAGGCTACAGATAAAATGTAATATACTTGTTATTACTGATTTACCAGTAAATATGTCTCGATTAGTTTCATTTACATTTTATAAACTGTAAAGCATCTAATAATTTTTAAAATTGCATTAATTGATGATAAATATCTAGAAATGTTGTGTTTCTAAACTTAGTAAGTAGGTATTTATTTTGCAACCTGTAAAAATGTATTTTAATAATTTCAGTGAAATTTTAATATGAAAACTTATGGTTTAACTTAATAACTTAATATTAACTTAATATAAAACGATACACTTCACTTTTGATGTTTTTTGAATAACACCAATTTATGCTAATTTTATCATTTGTTTAAAGCTTAAAGATACGTGTTATTTTTACAATTTGGCACTTCTGCTTTTCAGCAGTTTCTGTTCTTAATTTTTGAATATACATTTTTGTATTAATATACACAATTATGTTTGAACTAAATTATAAAATATTATTGTTATTTTTTTGACATTTCAGGTAAAAATTCTTTACACTAAAGTAAAATGACGAATATTGGACGCATCCGGACAGTAGTGTTAGGAAGTTCTCGCGTTGGGAAATCTGGTAATATATAATTATTTAATTAAATATTATTTTGAAATAGCTAACCTTATTAAAATTCATTGTTGTATTGGACATCTTACATTATGAAAGAATACGGAATATAATAAATAAATCAAAATTTGATTTTTAAGAATAAATCTATTATAGATAGATATCTATTATAAGTAGTAAATACTTCAAAAATAATTTTATATATTATATTACACTATGTAGATTAGACGTTAATAATTTCGTTATTAAATTACAGTATATTTGTTAAGTTTTTATTTTCTATTATAATTCAACTTAAGAAATTTGAAATAAATATTTTGAAAAAATGTCATTAAATTAATACGATTCAAATCATATTCCGATAAAATATAATTCACCATTTATGCATATTATAACACGATATATTGTTATTAAAAGTTTTTGTAGACCATAGCAATAGGTAAAAATTACTTTCTGACGCAACTCTGTGTGTATGTGTGTGTGTGTGTGTGTGTGTGTGTGTGTACTAATAACAATTATTAAATACCCAAGTGTGAAATGTTATATTTCATTATAATTTATAATCAATGACTAAATATAGTTACTGCATCACCTGAATAATGTGTAAGTGTGCACTATATAACTGTAGTCTAGACGTTTGGTTAGAATGCTCAACGCGTTCGCATGTTTTTATACGTGCCGAAAGCTAATATGGAAACTATGACAATACGTAATATTTCAACATTTGTGCTTATAAAATGCCAATGTTTATTTGTAAATTTTTAAATTTTTTAGACAAAAAACTATGACAATTAAAAATTCGTAATAACCAAAATACCGATCATTTATAAGATTTTTCATCAGAATTATTAAGTTACACTCACTTCATTTGTTTAATTTATCGGTTTGATTCTATGCGAAAACAGAAAATTGTATACTACCTCATTTTAAATGAATCACTTTGTGAATAATTGATTGCTTCGATGTAACGAAAGTGATCAGTAATGGATAATATTGAGTTCTAATTTTTCTACGAGTTGCATTGTATACATTTGTAATCTGTATAATTATAATCTATAATCTAAAATTTAAAATATTCATTCATGGCAATACTAAAATATATATGGCAAGGTAAGATGTGAAATATTTAAAGATTAAAATTTAAATGTTTGTTAAATTAAATATATAAATATTGTATATGAATAATGAATACAAAGTGTAATTATTATATTTCTAGTAATACAGCTGGCGGCGCAATAACGGCTATATATTATTTTAAAATTTGCTAAACTTGGTAATTCTTGTAAAACAAGATGTACAGAATATTGATTATTCTATAAAATTATATTTATATTTATATATACCTATAGGAATATTTCTCTCCTCAAAACAAGTTGCAACAACTTAATTATATGATCTCGTGCGTAGCTTTTTTCTCTGGAATCTTAAATCCCTATATTGTGTTATACTCTCATATTTTGTTTATTATGATATATTGACACGCATCATTTTATTTCTCACGTGTATTTTAGTATTCGATTTAAATTTAAACTATAAGTTACAAAGTTATTTCAATGGCTTCTTTATTCAATGCATTCATTATTTTAAAATTGTGGTAGTGGTAGGGACTGGTTGGTTTTATGTTTAGTTAAAATCTTTTCAATTGATATGTGAAACGATTTTTTATAAAGTTTTGTGATTATTAACAATTGTTTTGAACAAATAACTTTAATTGGAAATGTTAATAAGATTTTTTTTATTTCTTATTATACAATAAAACATACATATAAAGCAATCGGAGAATCTGGCCCTCGCACGCCTCTTTATTTACTCTAATGGCATTATGAAAAGTGTTATACATATTATAGTGGATAACAATTGTAAAAATGTACGCATCTATGTCATATGTCCACGTATTCCACGAATAAATTATAGGTTAAATAACTAGGTGTAAGTTTAGTTTTAAGTAAATAGTTCGTTCTAAATAATAAGAGCCAAGATACAGAATTTAACTGCAGTTACCTATAATAATCATATGTACATCTAACACATACCTACTTATGTGGCATATGACGCTGTGCCAATTTAATTTTTGACAACGGGCAGATTGCAAACCATAAAAAAAGAACGAGAGCGAGGTCAATGTTTTTGCACTGTGTTAGTAATTTTGAGCATTAGCAAAAAATAAAAAAATTTATATATTGTATTAAATAGAACAATTTGTGATTTCTAAGTATAAAATACTTTTATATATTATTTATATGTATTTATTATCAGATTATTTTGAAGTTAAAATTCGTTAATTTAAAATATTTTAAAATATTACACCCATAGTTTATAATTATAGTTATTCAATCAAATTTATTAAGCCTAATTATACGAATATTATTATCTGTTACTCAAGGATACAGAAAGAGAAAAATGAAATACGCGTAGATGCTTGTACAAAGTATTTGATTTTACTTCATATAGTTTTAAGTTATTTATGTAACGATCATAGTTTACTAAGAATAAAGTTGCAATTTGTGACCACTATTTGCTTAATCAGTAAAACTGGTTTTAACTAAAATTATATATAAATATTACATTTATAATTATAATATTTATTAAGACTGTAACAAACGATTTTATGATTAATATAAAGTTATTATTTTCATTTAGAAATTATATACAAAATTACATTATTATAATATCGAATACAAATATTAATAATACATTCTATGTAGATATGATATTAATACACATTAATGTTTATCTTTAGGTACTTAATTGTTTTTTTTTTTTTAAATTTTATAATACTGTATATTATTATATACACGACACTATTTTTCTTCGCACAAATACTCGACGAACGCGGTTAACACAGCTGTGTGATTAAACTTCAAAGTATTTTTACACACGCGGTTGACCTCTCCATGTTGTTAGTACATTAAAACTATATAACAGTCACAATATACAATGTAACCATTACTTAATCTGTGACCATAACCGTGTTATAATAAGCGGAAAAAATAATACAATGACGGAAACGGATACTAAAACTTCCGATCGGAAGATTTATTGCAGATTTAAATAACGCGTTACCACGATAATTACGTTTCTCATAAAGTCTATTATATTTACCTTTGAGTTTAAAAGTATCTCAGAAAACCCATGCAGTTTCGCTTAGAACTTCTGATGGAACTTTCGAAATACGACTGTCTGTAGTCGTGTACATTGAGTGCACGTAATATTAATCCGCGTCCACACTAGCGAACAAAACGACGAACATGTGTTCACGGAGAAGATTCGTGTGCAACAAATGGGTGAACTTGTAACATTCTATCGAACAAATCGGCGATCCATCAGTTGTCGGTATTTCGACGTAACATCAAAGGATATTACACGAACATGTTGCGACACATATGAACACGTCTTCGAACATTTTCACGAACACACCAAATTAAACTATTATTATTATTTATAATCAGTTTTTAAGTTTAGCTATACGTGAACCTATGCGAACATGGACACGCGAACATACACACACATTTTTTAGTCGTTCGACGAACCGTTCGTCGTTTTGTTACGCTGGTGTGGACGCGGCTTTACGGGTATAACTCGCGTAATCATCGATAAAGACGCATCGCGAATGACAGCCTGTCCATACACGAATATAAAAAGTACATTTTGACACACACGAACGGACAGAAGAATTATTGATTGTAATAATTTTCCGGTCACTTATTCAAATAAATAATATTTTTCATAAAACACATTGGTATAGGTACACAATAAATTAATAAATTGGCTGACACGTATTTTATTACATCTCTAATCACGTAGCTATCAATTTTTCTCCAAACACCAGTGGTTATTTCATAGTATTTACGTCTTAAGTGTTCCATCTGTATGGATGAAATTAAATATTAGTCGATTGAATAGTGGCTAGAGGATTTCAACAGTAGATTATCTACGAACCTTTAAAGGATCTACGAACGAGTGTTCTGAGGCTTGCCGGCAAGTTGTCTTGGTAAATAGTTTTGTATTATTTTCGAACTACGATCTGGGAATACGGTAGAAAATTCGTGTCAATTTGAACTCAACATATATGCATTCGACAATGAAAGAAATAAAAATAAAATAGAATAAAATATGTGTTTTACATTAAATAGAGAAAATCGAGAGAAATGTTTTGCAGCGGTGCGTATAGACCCCGTCGTCATTATAAAAGCAGTAGGAAGAAGAAGAAAATTGTTTTCGAACTGGAAAAAGGATTCTGGACCCTAAAAGGACCCAGAACCGTGGTCTATAAATAACAGCTATTCACACTTAAAAGTTATAAATCAATAATGTAGACGTCTGGTGACGAATAGCAGTGAACGCGTTTTTATTTTTCCACTCTAGACCGCTTGAATTATTATTTGTTATTGCTTTTATGCTCGTGTCGTAATTTTACGTACATACTCCTAAATATATGTTAATTGTATTATGAACCTGTACGGGAAATCTTCGGTGCGGTGTGTGTGTGTTTCACACAGTTGACCCGCGGATGAAGCAAGTCGCGGCTGCCGAGCGGATATAGGTCAAATCATTATACGACGTACGTATTTAATTACAAGGCGCCTGATCTACGGAACGCCGCCGATGCCGCGGAGGAGACTGGTCCGTCGTGCTCGGAGTTCCGCGATACCGCACGTTAGATAACCCATAATAATTACCGCGTTGATAGGAGGTTGTGGGAACCCGCCTCACCGTCGTCATCAATAGACACACACACACACGTACGTACGCCTATCATACATGTTTTTAATGTGTATTTGTAATATATATATGTATATTGTACGTGCCGGAGTTAACCGCTATGAGCCGTGTCTGACATTGGCAGTGTGCGACGGACGTGGTGTCCGTCATACCGTTTGCGAAATATTTTTCCGTCGATGTAAACTTATAAGCAAAACAAACCGGTATCACGTGCACGAGTGCCTGTACATTTTTCGCGCGTTCACTCGCCGGCTTGTCTTTTACCTGTATTTTGTTCTCGAACGAGC